GATTTATCCCGGATATATCCTCCATACAAGAAAGAACAGCAGACCCAAATAGAGTTCTCTGTTCCTGTTAAATGTCGGACAGTAACAGAGGAGATGAGATATAGTATCCTTCTCCTCATTGTGACAACTTCTACAGTAGTCATTGTACTGGAGACCCATTCTTCTGGCATGATTGCCAATAACACAGTGTCGCGTTATTATCGATAGCAGCGTTCTAATTTTCTCCCTGCTAAAGCTTAACAATAAGCTAGTCTTAGGTGCATCATATGGAGGTCAGGTTGACTTCGAAGTTAGATGGTTTCACTAAACCATCTGATCTGAGCCATTTCATATAGTATATTTTGAACAAGTGCCTTACAGTTATTAAGGGAAATACCGGTGAAGGCTTCGATTTTATTCTCTTCTACACTGAAAAAAATCCATTCCTAATATATACAAAAAATATCGTACATTGTACGAATCGTTCGTTGTTTCGCACCACGAAATTCTTTCGTAATATATACGAAATTGTACGAAATATTTTAGTATAATGCAAAACAATCTTGGAAAAATTAATTTACATAAATTGAAAAAAGTGAATTTTGAATAAATATGGTTAAATTTACGAAATATTAATATATGCAAACATTTTTGTTCATTTTAAAATAATTTTTCTAATTTTAGTTCAAAATTATTCTCCATACGAATTTTCAATTTTTTTATGAAAATAATTCGTGAATAAAATTATACTTTTTCTTAAATATTATAAAAATGTTGTAGTTTTATTTAATGATAATATAATTAATATCATTATGTTTAATTTCGCTAAAATTTAAGAAAAAAATATTACGAAAGGTTTTCGTACTTTCGTAAAAATAGAAAAGGGTTTTATTAAATAATATTTCGTATTATACACAAATAGAAGTTACGAAATTTTTTTTCGTAAAGTTGAGCATGGATTATTTTCAGTGTAGAATGTCTCGCTATCTCATTAAGAGATACCCGTTTTTTGATTGCAGCTTTGCTGTCCGTATATATACGTATATCCCCGATATTCGATAATACCTCATTCAATTTACCGCTCGTTTTATAGCAGATATCTCTGCCTGCAGAATTCTACAATAGTTAGCTAGCCTAAAGGAAGATTTGATTCCAAACCTTTCAATGTAGAAGCCTCCAACCACTCTCGGGAATCAGAATGGTGAAGCGTTTATCAAAGTGAGGTTTCGTAACGCCAACATTTAAATGCAAGGATTCGAAATGGTTTATTATTCGAGAATGCCCAATATTCCTACCACCAGACCAATATCCACATGCGCTAAGTCTAATTGCGGAATTCGGGGCTAGTTGAATCGCCATCAGGTCGGCTGGTGACCAATTCAATATACATATTTAACAGAGCCTTCGTTGACGTCGCGCTCATTGCTCCCGTTATAAGGATTGCAATGTTTCTAAGAGTGTTTGAATGTTTATACTCTAGTATAGTTTTCTGTGAAGGATTACTCCTGGCCACCCTTATATTAAAGTTATTTAAGCAGAATTTCACCGTGATACTAGTGTTTATAAGTGAATTACTGACCTTCAAGTCATTTTCTGTAGGGGACTTTGTAGGCGGGCTAAGGTCCGATCATTAGGAAAATTGGCAGTATCATTTAGATTTATTTTAAACCTAATTTTTTTTCTATTAAAGAAAACTTAAGAAGTAGCAGTTGATGAACGGAAAAGTAGAAAAAATCCTGTTCTACAAATTTCCATTTACTTTTATATAAAGGGTCAATATCTCAATCTCCGGTTATCGTTCAACCGGTAGAATTACTGCCGTAATGGGAGTCAGTTCAAGTAATCATATAGATCTGCACTTATTTGTAAAATGTTTAAAGAACATATATAAATACTGTTTGGATCAGCCATAGTTATATTTTTTTTTATTTGATTGACATTCTTTCATTAGTCACTATAATAACAAGGTCAATGGTAAAAATATTTTCTTTTATAAAAATGTGAAAAACATGATAAAACTATGATATACTAATCTCATCAATAATAAAATCTTAATTAAATGTTGAAAACACAGAAAAAATCACAAACAAAAAAACATGTGAAGATAAGGGAAAAGGGATGTTTTTAAAATTAATACTCGTACACCCACACACAACGAAAACACTGTATTTATTAAAATATGAAAAGTGGAAAAAAGAAAAACAAAATTAAAGGTTATAAATAATTATTTTTTATTGAAAGGACATAGTGACGCACGGATAAACACAACCTCACATTTTTGCTATGAAATCATCTATAGAAGGAAATTCAAACCAAATCAAAACAAAAAACATGACAAAAGCCGGCAAAAGCAAATCAATGGATAAACTACAGGTTCAAAATCAAAACAAAGCCATAAAACAACAACAAATATTACAATAAGTAAACACACGACAACAATAACTAACACAGTTATGAGTAAAAATAACAAACAAATAAATAACGAAGATGTGATAATCGAGCCGGTAACAGCAACAATCACAGAAGCAGAGAGAACAACAGAGACGAGCAACTGGTAGGATGTGACAGATTATTTTGCTAGTGATGCCGTATTATTTGTTTTTGTGTGGGAAAATCATTAAAATATTTTATATATAAGGAACTAAAGAAATATTTTTAGTAGAACTCTACGCGAATAATAAATTATCAATAACAAATAATAGAGATATAAACAATTTATTGTCAACTAATCATGCTTATTATAAAGCAATTTGTTTAAATTTGATATTCATAAACATGTATTTGATAAAAACCAATTAAATTCAAATCATTTCACGTAATTATTATTCATAACATGAATTTATATTAAAAAGGCATTTGTTTACGTATGAGCATTTAATTGAGTGTTCATTTTGAATATAAACTGAAGATTAGATTATATGTTTTTAGGTTGTGTCTCAAAACCATTTCATAGAGTATGGATTTACAAAATACATATTTGACAACTTTATTTATAAAGTGACATCTGAAAGTCCATTCTGTCAACTTTAAAATAAAGGCTTAATATCTGACATATCTTCTTTCTTCTTTGAGATATCTTCACCTAAAGCTTGAAAACCCATGGTTTTTATACCCTGTAATGTGGAGGATATTCTGCATTGTAAATCAAATTGCGTTTTTTCAAACTGAGACCAGATTCGGATTCAGCGTGACTCAATCCTTTAGAAAACTATACTTTTGTTTCTGGGTTAAAAATTTGTCGGCCTGTATAATTTATAAAAGGAAATATCCCGGGGAAAAAAGGTGCTACCAATACTTCTAGTCTGCCGGGACTATAAACTGGTGATGATCAAATGTACCCTCGGCATTTCCTCGGAATGATTTGACATGGCGTCGAACCAGTTCGTTGAGCTTTTGTGTTTTATATCCAAATTCGCGGGAAGAGAATGTTGGTTTAAGGACTGATATATCATATGTATCTGGATTCTCTCTCCGGTGCTGTTGCCATCTCAACAGATGTCACTGGGTGATGTTACAGAGCAACTTATGCTGGATTTCTATACCCGTTTGAAAATTCCTACATTCCTACATGCATTTCAAATAATGAATCTTTCATGACATCTAAGGGTGGTTACCTTCCGGCGTAAAATAGCGCAAGATTGATTTCATCTGATGTTGGGGTTCGCCCCTACTTTAGATTTTAGGCCAGTAATTGCTTTTTCCTTGTCGGGGTATCCATTGGGATTGATCTCATGTTGCCTGTCATTCCCCAACGAGGCTGCTATGGCAAGAGATTAGATAGCTCGAGTACTTCAGTGCTTGTACATTGACCGCCATAGCCATGTACAAAAATTACCACCTGATTTCTTCATAGAAGGTTTCAGGGACGCGTGGTAGAACGATCTCAAGTCTTCCCAGTGGATGAAAAAGACCACCTTGAAATAAGGTGTTTTTTTTTTGTACTTCATCGTACCAAAAATATGCAGAATTTTTGAAACCCATGATTTATTTAAATGATTCCTACATAGAGAAACAAATAATTAAAGGATGGACCATTTAGAAGGTAACAAATTTGATTTAACTTGAATTTATTCTAAATCAAAACCGAAGATGATCTACTTAAGGTAACTCCTGACTATGATCCCTGTATATTTTATGGAGTGCTTACCCAAAAGTAAACTCAACACCATCTGCCCTCTAGGCATACAAAGCTTTTTTTAACAAGTCTAACCATTTATTAAAATTTCAATTTAAATCTATCCCACAATTTTCAAAACTTTCTAAATTTAAAATTTCCTTTTTAAATAACTCGAATAAGTAGATTTACAAAATAATTAATTATTTCATTAATTCTAATCTGACATATTAGTCTTGTTAATGACAAGAATAATTTATAAAAAAACATTTCAATTTAAAGAAAAAAAAGTAACATAAGGTAAGTAATACATTTTCTTTTTAATTTGCAATTAATTTAAAGTGAAAATAGAATTTATCAATTTGATAAATAATAGTCATAAAAAATCATCAAAATAATGATAAAACAAAACTAATGGCAGCATTTTTTCTTGAACATTTCTTTGTTATACGAGGGTGGTTTAACATAGCATGCATATGTATATTCAAACATATAAAGATAACCATATGTATGTAAGTATGTAAATTTAAATGTGTATAAACAAATATATGTATGTACGTGCCTATGAGCGTGCATATCAATATATTTTAAGTGACAAGTTAGTTAATGACAGGCACAAGCCTCTCGCCAACAGTGTTGTCAGTTGGGTTAATATTGCAGCAACAACAGCAAAGACCATAACATTACTATTTGGTACTCATTACTCTTATCATATGAAATAGTTTTTGCCATCATCGTAAGAATTGTCTTACAATTTCTCTCTTTTGCCAAAATAATAAACAAATGAGCGAGAAGTAAGTGAACTTAACACATTTGTGATTTCTTTATCTAACATTTACTGCACTTAACATCAGTTAGATTCTACTTTTATTAACGGTTGAGAACAGACGTGTTTTGAACGTGGAAACGTTTAACGGTTATTAAGTTGCAAAAAAATACCAAATGTAACGGTATAAACAAATAATTAATTAAATTTTACTTATGTAAATAAATTCGGTGAAGTGATAAATTAATAAATAAAAACATAAATGTTATAAATAAAAAGCAAAAACAATTAAAATGACCTTCGACTTTTTTTATCAATAACAAAAATAGATATAAAAATAAATAATAATAGAAAAAGTTATCGATTCTATTTAAATCGTAAATAATAATGATAAAAGTGACACAGTCTGCTATAAATATTTACATACAAATACAAACACACATGAATACAATTTGTTACAAAATAATTAAAAAACAAGGTTTTTGGAAAACCCAGAAAAGTTTTTGTTATAAATTCATTAAATATAAAAATCTGAATTAAATATTTTGGAATTTTTTTACATATTATAAACCGTATTAATTTCTTCGAAATGGCATCCTTTAATCATTTTCTTCTATTCGAAATTATTGATAAAATTTGAATTATGGAAAGTTTTGATTGATTTTATTTAAATAGATTTTTATAAGATGATTCATTGTTTAGTGTCACAGGATGGCAGCTTCTTCTCCTAAATACGTTATGTGTTTACTTTTGAGATTATTTTCCAATTTTTCAAACACGTCTCGACTCGTCTGAGATAAGTATAAGTAGGTTTATACAGTGTCAATAGCAAAGGTGGAAAAGGTTAATTCTTTGGACATGGACAAATCATAGGTGTTCAATAGGTAAAGTGTTAATCCTAGAATTCTTCCCTGAGGAGCTTTGATCGCATAATAATTTGTCGCCTCATTTCATCCCATATGATATGTGTACTAGAAGGCAACATCTAAAAATATTGTAGAACATGAGTTTTTTTATTCAAACTATTTTCGTATTTCTCCAGTCGAGCGTTTTGCTTGTTCTATTGTTCCGTGAAGTCCCCCCACCGGGGCATGTTAGAGGTGTTACCAGTACCTCTATTCTGCTGGGACTATAAACTGGTGATGTCGTTTCACTCCTCGGCTAGTCCTTGGAATTATTTGACATGAGGGTCTAACCAGAGAACCAGTCAATTCAGTTGGTTGAGTTTCCTTCGGGATCTACGTAGTGGCTGTGGTTTAAACCCAAATTTGCGGGAAGGGTAAGTTGCGTTTAAAAGACTGATGCCCCACAGAGGAGTGACTGTGGGACTAAGAGTTGGAAATGAGTTAGTGTTAATTGTATATGACACAGGATGAATGTAGAATGAGTGTGTCGGATAAAGAAGAAGTGTGCAAGGTTGAATGGTGATGTCCAGCTATGTTCAGAGTAAACTCTGTTCATACCAGATTTACTACAGTGTGCAATGTGAGTAAGAACAGTCTCGGCTTATTTGATGGATTCGTACTTGGGTCTACGGGTTACGTCTCTAGGAGCTGTTGCCAACTAAACAGAGGCCATACCAACTGCGTGATTGTAAACGGAAGTGATGTTTTTGCATCTCGGAAGTTAAGCAACGGGGCAGCAATGGTCAGAGATTAGATAGCTCAAGTACTTGAGCAAAGGGCACGTTTACGGACCGGAAATTCCATATACTATGTAAATTGCCAACTGCGTGTAAGAAGCACAATGGGGCGGTGGTGAGTCGTTACAAAAGCTCATCCAGTGGTTGAAAAAGACCACCGTAAAATAGGCCAACACGGCAGGTGTTTACGTAAAACACTCGACATTAACTTGTCCCGTGATGTTTATGGAAATCTGATCATCATTGATGATATGGGATAATGTTTTGACTATTTAAGAATTTTAGAATATATGTGAATAATTTTTACAGGCAAGGCATTAAGCTGATCGGTCTATAGGACCGACTATAGGTTAAATGCTTTCCTGGCTTCGGTATCATATTTACATATGTAGGAGATTTTTCATACGTTAGGAAAAACTTTTAGAGACAAAATCGCGTTATATAATTCTATGAGCACAACAATTGACACAATGGTTTCTAATCAAGTTGTAATTGAATCATAGCTTGGAGATTTTCTTAGGTTAAGATTATATTTTATGTGTTTTTGAACTTCTTTTAAACTAATATCGATTAGTTCAGACTCTGAACAGATAACACCTCTAATATAAAGTTTTCTGTGGGACGATTCGGTTGGAATATATTATTTATATATTCAGCAAACAATATGGCCTTATCCTTTGAACTTCGTGCCAAGTGTCATCTGGTTTTCTTAATTAGCTGCCTTCTAAAGGGATTCCTCCTTGGAAGGCAGCATTAGTAAAACTTTTAATACAGTTTAAATATCTGCCTCTGCTTGCAGTTGGAGATCTGTTAAGTTGCCAATTTCTTCTACAACTAATCTTTTCGAGTAAAAATATATCATTCTGTATTCGAATTGTACGTTTTAGTTTTAAGAGCAACTTAACACTTCGAGTGATCCAAGACCGAAAAGTTTAGAGATGTAGAACGTATTTTATTTGATGAATTTACGGAAAATCTTGCCCGCAAATAATCTTCGGAAAATTTTTTCTAAGTTATAGTGTTCTATTCTATTCCTAATTAAAATGCCAGTAACACCAATTTAATCACTATACTGCTACGCTTAAACTTGCTTTAAACGTTAAATACATTTTCAGAAGGAGAACTCATATGAGGGTTTGTATCTAACCAAACCTTATAGTGTAATTTCTGGAAGATATTTAACTAACTTGTATAGAAGTGTATCACGATTACACGTACGTACGTAAAGTTTAATGAAAAAGTAAAATTAAATTCCATCTGTATGACAAAAAATAGAATAAAAGTCGTATGATTTATATTTTTTGTGTTTACACGATTCGTATAAAACAATAACAAAGTAAAATGGAAACAGCTGTTTTGAATCATTTCAAGAAATGAAGAGAGCTAAATGTCAAATTTTGCATTCGTATTTTCTCTCAATTACATATGGCGTTTAGACGATCCCATCCGTACTTCTCTTAACAAAATTTTGACAAATCATATTACTTGTGTGCTAGTGTAAAGAAGGCTTAAACAAAATTTAAAATTTGTTAAAATTAGAGATTATGAACTCACGACATTTACAAGGAGAAAAAAACCAAGAATAGGTGCTGCAGTTTATCCCTCTTCCAAATTTAATGCCCAAATATTATTATACTATTAAAAATTCATGTAAATTTGTTTGTGAATGGAAAATCGAGAAGAAGGTTACAGTTATATATGTAAGGAGACATAGCCTCTCCTACCCATCTGTCAACCTCTCCTGCACGCGGAACACCCTGCCGCTAACCAACAGGGAAATGGCGACCAATTATTAGCGGTATAACCCCAACATCTGCACAGAATAAATGCTCGCAAAATCAAGTGGTCCTCGAACTTTACTAGGAGTTGCCCGCTGGCCCGATAAGCTAGGATGGAGAAACATACCCATCAATGAAACTGGCTACCACATAGTGGATCGATATTGCCCATTTTTAATACCAAACAAACCTCATGAATAGAGCCATCAAGCTCCATCCGTATGCATTCTATGATCATCTTAATATCTAATAGGGATACAGAATATATATAGATGTATACATTTGTTAATTAAGTAAATTAAAGATTTTAATTTTGTAAGAAAAATACTGCAAAATTTTGTTGACAAAACTCTTTATAACCTTGAAAATCTCAAATAATATTTCCAAATAAAACATGACAAATCAGTTTCAAATGTATGTACTTATTATAAACAATTCTTTGGAATAGTTCCTCTTAATTGTCTGGTAATAACTAAGTAAAATAGATGTTACATTATACCAAATTTAAATGAATGCGTCATATTTGAAAATCCCATATAAAAATAAATGTATAAAAAAATATTGCTTATACGCACTATCATACCATTTGATAAAAAGCATAATAAAATCATGCGTACAAACATGGTGGCCAAACAGTCTCAATATAACGGTAAAAGCACACAGGCACACTCACACACAAACACATTTTCACACGAAATACACTCTCTAATACATCTGAATTTATTAATTGACTCTCTCGTACGCACCCAAAGATAACTTCGTAACGATAACGAACGAAATCATCCTTTTTAGTGGGTTTTGTTTGTGTGTAAGCATAAATGTGTGTGACGACTACTTGTGTATATAAAACGTAGAACTAGAAAACAGCAACAACGTCCGTCTGACTAGTAAACGTAGTTAAAGCATGTTTATCTCAATTTTTCCTCAAACAGTTTAACTTTGACTTTCGCGTATAACAGACGTTTAACTTCAGTGGAAATGAAATTAACGGTTAAATGCTGGCAATGTTTACGTTTAACAAAACATGCCTAGAAAAATAATAATTTATTGCATTAATAAAGAAATATAAAGTGTAAAAAAATGTGTAATAATTAATTACAAATACTCTCGCAAAAGCAAAAAATAAAATGCTGAAAAACTGTAAAACGGATATTAAAATTTAAACTTGTTTTAATTGTTAAGCAAAGAAGAAAAATAACGCTACTGTATAATTTTCAAAATTATAAAAGTGAATTTATAATTGTGAATGTAAATTTTGAAACAAATTGAAAAAATAATAAACACCTTTATGATTAATGTTGCCAATTACAGGTGAAAAGCTAAAAATACAAAACAACATTATTTGTATGACAAACAAACAAACAAACAAAAAAAGTATGTTATTTCCGTGTTTTTCTTTTTATTTAACTATAACAAGTGTTGTTATTTGTTAATATATTTGTGTTTAATTTATAAGAAGTCGAGAGTGCAAAAAAAAATTATTAAAAAAAAAACTTTAAATAAAACTAAATGCATGGGGATAAATCCTCTTGTTGTAAATTGGTTTGAATTAACTAAAATCTTGTTTGTGTAAAGTGCCTTTACAAGAGTGACTTTTTCTTTTTTTATTTATGATGTACCTCTCTCTTTCTGCCTGTTTTTTGTGACTGCATCTCTATGGGAACTTTATGAATGCCAGCATGCATGTACATGATTCAATACCTAGTAGTTACAGTGACTATTGTAAAGATTTTTTTTCTGGCGAATAAAGTTTTTACATTACAGTAGTACACTACATGTTTGTAGCTTTTTATATGTTGTGTCAAAGTAGTTTTGCTGTTATTTTTGTTGTTTTGTTTAGAGTTTTGTCACCTTTTTATGTTGCTGCTGTTTTGAGTGCTGAGTTGGTTTGGTTGTTGATGTTGTTGTTATTATTGTTCAGAAATGTGTGAACGAAAATTTCAAGTATGCAGTTTTTTTTTTCGTTGTTGTCTATGCGTACTTACTTATTATTCAGTATTTTTAAAAACTTGGGGGTATATTGATTCAGTCACTTCGTTTGTAACGTTCGTTTAGATCCCATAAAGCCATGGTTTCTAAATGTAGGTCCGTAGCAACATTTCATACTCCACTACCGCGAGGTAGTGGAGTATGTTAGGAGGAGTATCATAATTTCTAGATATTGACCAAAACATAGAACCAATAGGAATATAAATATATATGTATGGGGTCCGGGAGTTTCAACAAATTTCTCAGGAAGTTCGTAAAACAAAAAACGGTGAAAACCCCTGGTATAAAGTCTTTATTATATTAAGAATCCTTGTTCGTTTATCTGTTTAAGTCAGTATAGAATCTAGAGAAAAGATTTTAGGTCCATAAATATAGCGTTCATCGGTCATATTCGCTTTTTAACTGAGTGCTACAATATATCCACCTTACTAAAGCCTTTGGAATAGTTTAATCGTTTTTCCGGATTTTATGAACAGACTTCAAAAAGGACGAACGGACGGACTTTTGATACCCTGCAAAACTTATTGGATAAAATGATCCATTTAGGTATTTTTAAAACTACTCCTCTGTAAACATTATAGGAGTACATGATCCATTAAGTAGTCCTATGTAATGCAGTCGTGGATTATTACATAGAATCATGTTGCGGATCAAGTACTCCTATAATTTTAGCAAGAGGGTCGTTTTGGGATTACTCTGATGTAATGCATGGATGGATTATGTGGTCCGCACCTAGGACATCACAATGTTAAATGGAGTATGTTTTTACCATATATTTGGATCAGTTTTGAGGTGTACTATTTACACTCGTGTGAGGAGTTTGCTCAATTTACTTTATCTTTTGATTGCAAGACTATTGTGGTCTGATTTTGCAGATTTTTTATAGGAAACATCTCGATAGCCTGCCTATCTCAGAGAATTGTTGAAGATTTCGATCTCAGAGATATCTGGGGCCTTCAGAAATTTGATTTCAACAAACAGACAGACAAAAAAATATGGCTTAAACGGCTGCGATATAAATAAGGATCCTGAATATATACTATATGCAGACGAAATTTCACTTATGTATGTATTATAGTAAGGATAATATAAAACTAATAGGAGTAGTAAAAGCCAGTTTTAAACTTAAAAACCAAAAGCCAAACATTAATCAAAATAGTTACAGCCAAGTATTATTTTAAGGCTTAAATTCATTTTCAAAACATTGTTTGTGTTTTGATGTTAAGCATCTAAGATTCGTTACAGCCGATTATAAAACACTTTTACTTGTTTGCAATATGATTTCTACTATATTTTAGTATTCCATACATGTTTTGGTGTGTAACTTTTTTTTGTTGTGATACAATCTGTTTCTGTTACTAATGAATATCCATAGATTTTGTTGCATTTTCAAATGTCTACTTTGCACGAGACAAATTGCGTTTGATGTCAAAAGTTAAGTGCAAATATCTGACGAAAAAAACGTGTATAAATGTTGTACGTTTTTGCGTTAAAGTTTTTTTTTTTAAACGTTTAGCATTATCTTAAGTGGTCTGCGTATCGAAAGGAATACGCATAGTGAGGAAATATGAATATCAATGAGTTGGGGCATAGTTTGTTTGTCAAAGCCTGGGTTTTATTTGAAAAGGGTGTGTAAAATAGTTAAAATTGGAATGAAAATTTGCAAAATACTTTTATGACAGGACAGAATAGATTTTTCATTGTAAATACAATTAAAATTTATTTTATTTATATTAGTGATTAAGATGCCGAAAGCTCAGAAATAATATCAATTTTTAATTTAAACCATATTTGGGACGTTCAATTTCGGGGTCAGATTAGTTCAATCATTTAGAACAGTGTACTGAGTTGAAATCCTGTTGGCCTGATTTCTCAGATTTTCTATGGATTCTATAATATTAGCCAAAATATGTTTTATCAAAATTAAAACTTTATGTATATTATATTATTCAGAACATTTTAAATCGCGGGTACAGCTAAACGGCTCTATCTCTTAGATAATAGGCTATCGTTTCCTCTACTGACTGGACTATTGTAGAGTCTAAAGACTAGACTATATTCGAATCTTAAAACCGGACTATTGTCGAAACTAGACAATATGGTCCACTCTATAGACTGCACTGTATAGTCTACTATATAGACTAAACTATTATCTACTATACAAACTGGACTATTGGTTAGTCTACAGACAGAATTATTGTGTTGTAAACTCTTGATCCTTTTCCCTAAATCACTTAAATATGATAGTAACGATAAATCACTCATTCAGAGTCTAAATTTGTACTATTGTCGAGTCTATTGTGTAATCTATTGTCTAGTCAATTGACTGGTAAAGTCTACTCTATAGACTGGACTACAAAGTCTAGTCTATAGACTGGACTATAAAGTCTGCCTATAAACTGGACTATATGGTAAACTCTATAGACTGCACTGTACAGTCTACTCTGTAGGCTAAACTATTATATAGTGAACAGACTGGACTATTGGTTAGTCTACAGATCAGATTATTGTGTTGTAAACTCTCGAAACCTTTTCCTAAACCACTTAAAAGTGGTAGTAAAGATAAATCACTCATTTAGAGTCTAAACTTTTACTATTGTCGAGTCTATTGTGTAATCTATTGTCGAGTCAATTGACTGCTAAAGTCTACTCTATAGACTGGACTGTAAGTCTAGTACGGGTACAGCTAAACGGCTCTATCTCTTAGATAATAGGCTATCGTTTCCTCTAATGACTGGACTATTGGAGAGTCTAAAGACTAGACTATATTCGAGTCTTAAAACCGGACTATTGTCGAGTCTATTGTGTAATCTATTATAAATCACTCATTTAGAGTCTAAACTTCGTTTGATACGATTAAAATAAGAAAAATTTCCACAGATTCAGATGCAACTTAATAGTGCAAGATAATGTCGTCCTATGCAAATTTATAGTAGCTTTCCATATGTCAAACATTATAAACTTTTCAAGAAGGCCAATCCAATTTATAACGTATTGCAGTCACGAACTTAACGTTAACTATTGCTAAATCCATATTTTGAAAAATAAAAACAACTTATAAATAACCTCTTTTTACATAAAATATTAAAATAAGTTATAATAACTAACTGCTAAGTGTTATGAATTATTTAAATATTAATTCGTTTAAAGTTTTCTCATGTCGATTTAAAGGAGATAAAAATGTTAAACAGCATGTGGCCCATGAGTATGATGTTCTAAGATCTGCTGTGTTCAAATGATTCTTGTTACTTATGTTTCTCAGACACCACCAATTCATTAAATAAAATAATCACGTGCTGAAATTAAAACTTTTTTTACTTATTTAACCATGACACAAACAATTGAAAGAGGGTATAGAAGCAAAGGCTGCAATGTCCATTTTAATAATTTTTAAAATAAATAAAAATACTCCAATTATTAAAGAATTGGAAGAAGTTTGAAAGTAAATGTGTTGTAAAATATGAAGATTTATGTGTTAGCTTTAATCTATGTTTTAATGAAAATAAAGCCAAAGATGAAAACTCCATAGGAGAGCAAAGCAGCTTTAAGTAATTAACATAGATTTTGATCATATGGAATACTGTCTCAACTCAAACATACAACAAATGTCATTACTTTTTAAGTACTTGAAAAAAATAGAGATTCCTGTTTTTGCTTCTATAGCGCACAAATATTTTTTTGTGCCAAAACAATTCTATTAATTGTAAAAATTACAAAAATACATATTTGTTATTTTTCTAATTTTTGTACATTTTTTATTGATTCTAATAGATCTTTCGTACATAACAGCAAACCTCAAAAAGAACAGAAAAATGTGAACGATAAAAAACATTAAAGTGAGGAGGCGTCTAAAAATAATAAAAAAACAATTAAACAAAAATATTTATTTGAAAAGAAAAACCTCAAAGAACCTAATGATGAACCAAAAACTAGACATTTATGTTTATGACATGTGTACTTACGAGTTTTGTACTTAAACATCAGTGTTTGACACAACATACTAGAACTAGAATATTTAAAAGATAATAATAACAATAACAACAAAGATATGATTAACAACATGATGTGCGACAACAATAAAAACTATAAACCAACTAATAAATAAATGAGAAAAGTAAATACAAACAAATTAAAATAATTGACAAATAATAATTATAAACAAATAACTACAAACAAATAACATAAACGTAAACAAACAACTAATAATAATAAACAAACAGCAAAGTGACACTCACCAACAACTAGAACATTTATTCAACCGTCATTCAATTCATTCAACTTTTAGTGATTGTTCTTCTTGTTGCTTGTTGGTGTTAAAGTACAGTGAACAATAAACAGTGTAAACAACAATAACAACATTTTATGTTGAAAACAACTAAAACAAAGTACCTAAAAGAGTGAAAAAAAAAAACAATCAACAACTAACAAACCAATAAATAAATAAACAAACAAATAAATAAACAACATATTGTTGTCTAAAGACAGCAACAGCATCATTTACCTTCCAGCAACATCGACAGCAATAACATAAAACAACAACAGTCAAGATGTCAACCACATGTTGCGGATTAAAACTGTTAATTGCCATCATTGTGTTTGTCACCTATGAAAGTGGCAACAACAACTACAAACACACCTGTAATGGTAAGTTACATTAACAACAACAACATCAAGAAAACCAAAACATGTTTCTCTTTCAAATGTTTGTTACTTCTTAATATTAACTTGTTCTCAAGTAGGGAAGCTTAGTACTTTTTGTAGTACATTTCCACATAATATGGACTAGAAAAATATTTCACATGAAGTCGGAAAGTATAGTTGGACATATACAGTTATTTGATACCCTACATTAGGTACATTTTGAAGTAATTTTGCAAAGTTGGTCCTATAAAGGGGATATAGAATATATTAAAAATTCTATAAAACTAGAAGGGTATAAAAAATATATGTAAGTCGGTTACAATATAGTATTTTCTATATTAAGCTCAATATAGACAAATATGAACCGATCCTTTTAGAATTTGTGTGGCACGGTTCAGGTTTACATAGTTCTGGTCGCTAGGGTCATATGTGGTCAGATTTTCACATTTTTTATTGCATGATCTGTTAGTACCTTAAAGTTACTTTTTGCAAAGTTTGTTTACAATTTGAAGGGGCCAAAGGGGGCTATGTTAAATAATGGGCCGACTTTGAACAATTTTAATTAGAATCGTTCTTGGTTCAGTTTATTCAAATTCTGAGTCGATTATATATGGGTATTACAAACATCAGCAAAAACGCATATACTCCTCCTACTTTAGTGGGGCTGGGTATATGTACATTAGAGTGCTCCAAGCTTGTATGAAGGAAAAAAAATTTTATCCGACAGGCCGTCCCCCCCTCTGGAATTGTTCTATGGGTTGTAAAACTATGTCATGCAAAAAATTAGGCTGATAGGATAACGTTAACAGGTGCCGCAACGGCTCAGAAGTTTCCAAGTGCATTTACAAGGGGAAAAAATCGATTTTTTTCAGTTTTTGCTCAAATTTTGCAACTTAATAATAAACTTTGCACTTTATTGTAAAGGAATCGTAATGTGCACAGAATAAGCATTTCAGAAAGATATAAAACACAAAAATTGGTTGAAAATTTTTAAAGTTATTGCAAATTCCCCAGGCCATTAACGTGTCTCACAGCACATGAATTCGAAATGTGACAAAAAAATTAAAATTTTTTAGGACATATTGTAAAAAAAACATTTTGTTACTTAAAATATACTAAAAATTACTTGAATACTAGCTTTTGTCCTTATACGATAACGCAAACTTGTTCTCAGCTATGGTCAAAAAAGTTTGATTTTTTCAACGGCCGTTTCAAATCTCCAATTTCAGTATTTTTGAAACTTTGTTAAACAAATTTTAAAATTTTTAGAAGATCTCATGGGAATTTATGGACAATAGATAAGGGAATAAAACGGTAAAAAATTAGATCAATAATTCTTACAGTTTAGCTGTACCTGCGATTTGAACTCGGCGGATTTCGGGAAAATCGCATTTTTTTGTAATATATTAGAGAATACGTATTAATTTTTTACTGTTGTACATTTTAAACAAAGTATTTTCAGAGTATTATAGACCAGATAATATAAAATATATATTCCAAGTTTTATTCAAATCGGACATTCTTAACCCATAAAATGTGGAGTTCAAAGGTTAAATTTTGCTATATTTGGGAATTCTCAGTGCACCATATTAAAATATTATTTATTTGTTGGCCATATTTACCAAAAATTACTGGAATTTATCGTATAAAGTCCGATATTTAAAATAGAGTGAAAAAAAGGTAAATTAACACTTTAAGGCACTTGGGAACAATTTAACACCAAAGTTCAAAAATTTGAAAAAGCACTATCCATTTGAATAAAGCTCTATATAATTAGAGAAATAGCAGAAATATAACAAAAACGTATATATTAAGTATAAAAAATTATACTTTAACCCTTTTCGACTATGGAGTAAACTATAGGTGTACATTTTTAAAAGAAAAATTTTGTTTTTAAAACTGATAATTTATGTAGTCCATTTTTTCGGACCATTTTCGACATAATATGTCTAAAAATACAAACTTTATAGGTTCAAAAAGGGTTAATTCAGAAGTTTTTATACCTAATATATATTTTTTTGTTTTATTTATGTTATTCCTCTAATTATATAGAGCATTATTCAAATGGATAGTGTTTTTACGATTTTTTGATCTTCGGGGTTAAATTTTTCCCATGTGTTTTAAAGGGTTAATTTTACTTTTTTTCGCTGCTATTTTAAACATAAGACTTTATACTAAAAATTCAAGTCATCTTTATTAAATATGACCGACAAATACATAATATTTCGATATGGTACACTGAGAATTCCCAAATATAGCAAAATTTGACCTTTGAACTCCACATTTTATGGGTTAAGAATGTCCGAATTGAATAAAACTTGGAATATATATTTTATATTATCTGGTCTATAATACTCTGAAAATACTTTGTTTAAAATGTACAACAGTAAAAAATTAATACGTATTCTCTAATATATTACAAAAAAATGCGATTTTCCCGAAATCCGCCGAGTTCAAATCGCAGGTACAGCTAAACTGTAAGAATTATTGATCTAATTTTTTTACCGTTTTATTCCCTTATCTATTGTCCATAAATCCCCATGAGATCTTCTAAAAATTTTAAAATTTGTTTAACAAAGTTTCAAAAAAACTGAAATTGGAGATTTGAAACGGCCGTTGAAAAATTCAAACTTTTTTAACCATAGCTGAGAACAAGTTTGCGTTATCGTATAAAGACAAAAGCTAACATTCTAGTTATTATAGATATATTTTAAGTAACAAAATGTTTTTTTACAATATTTCCTAAAAAATGTTAATTTTTTTGTCACATTTCGAATTCATGTGCTGTGAGACACGTTAATGGTCTGGGGAATTTGCAATAACTCTGAAAGTTTTCAACCAATATTTATGTTTTATATCTTTCCGAAAAGCTTATTATGTGTACATTGCGATTCCATCACAATACATTGTAAAGTTTATTATTAAGTGGCAAAATTTTAGCAAAAACTGAAAAAAATCGATTTTTTCCCCTTGTAAATGCACTTGGAAACTTTAGTGCCGTTGCGGCACCTGTTAACGTTATCCTATCAGCCTAATTTTTTGTATGGCATAGTTTTACAACCCATAGAACAATTCTAGAGGGGGGGACGGGCAAAATTCGCAACTTCGTTTTTTTGGAGCACTCTAATGTACATACATATATATTTGTTTATATGAAAATATAGTAGGACTTGATCGATGATGGAAATTTAAGATTTCTGAAATATCTTTTAGGTGAAGAATTGTTCATCGGTTAGGCTTCTGTTATATGTAAACTTTTATTTTTAAAAATGTTTACTTTAAATGATTTTAAGACTTCAGAGTCGGTGAAACAGGGATTAACGTTATCCGGTTTTAGCCAAATTTGTTAAAATCAAGTGCCAAAATAACCGGACCAGCAATGAATAAACAGCAATATTAACCCTCGAATTATGGATTTTGAGTCTTAAAAATGTTTTACAGATACAATAATCTTGGTTTTTGCAAAAAAAAATCTCCTAACCACATTATGAATCTCAAACAGGGTTGGATAAGAATATTCTAATACAAATCCTTATTTATATTTAGTTGTTTATTACCATAACAATTTTTAAAAAATGCACACTGATCAATAGAAGTATACATACATATCTAAAGGATTAAGCTTTATGTTAAGATACTATCTCGAAGAAGAAAGAAGATATAAGATTTCAGTTTTCCATCTTTGAGTTTTCTTAAGTACTTGCATAGCTGCAAGTAAACAGTTGTTTCTTCGAAAGGTACAGATGCAATTGTTCATTAAAGTTTAAGAAAATGACAAAGTAACAAGCAAAGACATTTACTTATAAATTATGTTGGGTGGGAGAGTTTTTTTTCTCGATTCATAAAATGATTTAAGATAGAGTTTTAAAATAACAGACATGCAGACTGATAGACAGACAGTGCAATACAAATGTTAGTTAATGTTTAAGTACTTAAAAAAAGTTTTATGAAAGGGGTCATTAATAAATAGCATAAAATAAATACTATATGAACAAAAAATTTACAAAAAAAAAGAATAATTTTATGATTTTATCTTTGTCAGAGATAAGTACGTAGTTTTTTTTTTCTTTTCAAAATTACAAATATAGTATTTGAGTTCATCATAGTTGTTTACAGTGTCTAATAAAATGTAAATATATTTAAATGTGTTTGCATAATATTTATAAAATGAGTTAATTACAGGTGGTGTTAACGAAAAGCTTAAGGCATTTAGATTTTATAAATATACAACTTCATTCGAGTATAAAGCAACAGTGTAACCCAGCAAAATATTACATCGCATTAAGAATATCAAACTGTATAATTTGAAATAAAATGGGCACTTTCTAGATGTTAAAGAGAATTAATTTCCCTTTAATATCTTCTAACAAAAGCTTTCTTTTATACTGCTTAGGGTTATCAAATCTAGCCTAGCGATTTTTAGCTAAAATTTATGACAATCATTTCTTTCATCTTTGTATGAATTTAGCTTCGAAGTATTATTTCCCTGCCAGCAATTTTGTAGTCGACTACGAGAAAAATTCACTTCTAGTTTACTTTTACAGACTGACTATAAGCTAACTACAATGTAATGCAGAGCTGTCCCGAAATTTTGTATTTGGCAACGTAAAGAACCGACTTTTAAATACTAACTACAAGCTAACTATAATGTAATGCAGAAGTGCCTCAAAATTATCTGGAGAGAATTAATTGTATTTCAACATGTTTTCTCTTGTTTCTCTATTATTATGATTTTATTTGTTAACTTTAGTAGACTGACTATAAACGAACAACAATGTAATGCAGAAATGTTCCAAAATTTGGTATTTATTAACGTAAACAACCGACTTTTAAAGACTAGCTACAAGCTAACTATCATATAATGCGGGAGTATCCCAAAATTATCTGGAGAGCATTTTGTTTCGACATGTTTTCTCATGTTTCTTTATTATTTGGAATTTGTTTTACATTTTTGTCATTTTCTTATATACGTTGTGAAATTTGAGTCAGTAAATTGGAAAAAT